ACGATTAAGAATGAATGTAATGCATTTTCATGTTGCAAGTGAATGGACTATATTATTAAGAATAAAAGTAGATAACGATGATTAAATTAAACGATATAAAAGATACGTGCGATTGAATACACGTTAAAAACGTTGTTATAGAAATCTTCTAAGATTTTTCTTCTAGTAATGTAACCCTTATAAAGATTTTCCTATTATTACGTAAAAAACTATATATAAACAAATACTTTTTAATCGTTCAGATAGTATAAAGCGAATTTATGAAACAACACGAGACGAGCAATAATCGAGGCCGTAGTAGTAGTCTCGGTCGAGTGGTATAAGAGAAAAAAGGACAAGTAGAATGAGTAGAGGTATGGGTAAAAGGGAAAGAAGAAAAGGAAAGAACGTGGAAGAAGGGTAAAGTGAAAAAAGAAAAAAGGGAATAAGAGAGACAGAGAAAGAGAGAAAGATTCAGAAATGAAACGCAAGAATAAGAGAAAAAGATAGAGAGAGAGAGAGATAGAGAGAGAGTGAAAGAGAAAGATAGAAAGAAGAAGAGGAAAATCTGGGAGCTTCGTTGGCATCCGGTCTACTCGGCACGGCAGACTCATTAAGGGGTTATTTCAAAGTTTAACTGAATCGAGTCGAGAGGGAGAGATGATAAAAACTCAGACCTTCTTCCTTCCTTTTCCTCTCTCTTTTTCTCTTTCCATCTACCATTTGCCTCGTCCCTAGCCCACCTCCTGTCGAGGGTTATCTTTCTCTCTCTCTCTCTCTCTTTTTCTCTTCCCGCCAACCCGAACGTCTATTCCGGCAGACTTCTTCGCTTCTCCACCGACACTCCGTACCGTCGGCAATATTAATTAACGTCATCTTGCAGCCGCAGTCCAGATATTTGCAGTTTGTTAGCTGAAAAGTTGCAAAGTCGCGACACTCCCTGTACTACCCTTTCTCTCTTTATCTTTTTCTTATTTTTATTTTTATTTTTATTTTTATTTTTATTTTTTTCCACACCCTCGACAAATTTGTATAATGTGTACGCGTAAAAATGTAATTATTATTGCTATCATATTTGGTATATTTAACGGATTTTGTTTATGTAATATTTATGTATATGTGGTACGATAGATTTTGGAGTAATTCGAAATGAAGAAATTGAAAAGTCGTGCATTGAAATTAATCTCTGTCATCGATCAACGAGCTCACCTCGGGTAATCCGATTTAATTGCTAATATCGAAAAACGGGATGGTTTAAGAGAGGGGCAGCGGTGGAATACGCGGAACGCGCTTGATTGTTTTGCGTGTTTATAATTGCAAAAAAGTGTGAACGAGGAAAGAGAAGTTCCGAATAGAAATTTATGCGAGGCAAAAAAAGGAAGACGCCTCTCGCCACCATCTCGTTTTCATGCTGTTGCTGCTTCTGCTGCTGCTGCTGTTACTGCTGCACCCTCCCCCCAACCCCCGTTTTCATCGTATTCAATTATAAAACGATCAACGTCCACCCTCTTGACAGCATGGTTAACGACTTCAGATGGAAACCTTCGCTTCTTCATTATTTCCTATTAAAGCTGATAAAGTCGACTGAGTGTGAGTGTTTCATTGTCAAGTACCACGTGCGATCGTTAGAACTCGTTGTTATGCAGTGTCGACCAATAGTTGTCAACCATTAAGTTCAAGAAAATATAAATAAGCTCGTAAACATTTGTTTGTTGTAACTAATACACACCTGTTCGCATTTTAATTAACTTTCTTGTAAATCAGACACTCCTGAATTTAGATTTTAGGGAAACCATTCTTACAATCGTCTGTTCGCGAATCCACCATTGATACAACGCATAGTCTTATATCTTTAGATTCGAAGGTTGCTTATAAAAATGATAATAATATTATGACTTTAGATATAGTTTTCTTTCGAACATATTAAAACGATGTACAATGAATCAGGCATTGTAACGTAATCAATCGAAGCTCGAACGATCGAAAATAAATTATAATATTAAATATTTTATAATGATTCTATTTTGGTAACAATTAATCATTTCACATCAGACAGCTTTATTTCACGGCTTTCGTTATTTCGTAAAGATCGTAACGCTTATTAGTGACAAATTAGTCGGAGTTAAAATCAGGGTTGATCGGTATTACGCGTATGAGTATAAGGCATCGGTTGACTTCGAACATATTAAAACGATGTACAATGAGTTAAGCACTGTAACGTAATAAATCGATTCTCACGATCGAAAATAAATTATAATATTAAATATTTTATAATGATTCTATTTTGGTAACAATTAATCATTTCACATCAGACAGCTTTATTTCACGGCTTTAGTTATTTCGTAAAGATCGTAACGCTTATTAGTGACAAATTAGTCAGAGTTAAAATCAGGGTTGATCGGTATTATGCGTAGGAGTATAAGGCATCGGTTGACTAATTGCGACTAATAAATAGAGGAAATCCTTGTGGAATATTCGCAGTCTCGGTGTGCATGCCGTCGCGCGTTACCTCCGTGCCTATCTAGTGTCGTGTAAACAAATTAGTAGTAATGACGTTGCAATTTGTCAGATCGCTTGCTTGCTAGCTAGCTCTCGGCCAACCGATCGTAACGCATGATGAGACACGGACACGGACGTAAACGCGTGTTAGCTAGCTTCTCGCGTGTATATGTATATTAGCGAATGTGTGTTGCAGCGTGTTCGCGTGTTCTATACGTTGTCGTGCGTTCCACGCGTGCACACGTGTGCATCCATCCTCTTGCATAAGAGTGACGACGAGAAAGGGTGAGATTGGTGGTGTCTGATCCACCACCTGTCACACGCAATTTCATTCTCTCTCTCTCTCTCTCTCTTTCTCCTCCCTTAAACGAAGGAGAATTTTGCAGTGGTTTGTAATAATCGGTAGGTAGAAGAAATCCACTGGGATGCACAATTCTTCTCGAGTATACTCGTCTTTAACTCCTTAATAATCATTAATACGTAAAACAGGGGAGAAGTGAGGGTGGCGGGGGTGTGGGGAAGGATTCGTTAAAGTAAACGGTCCTGGATAATTAAACGCGTTTCACTCAGACAAGAACGTCGTTAGAGAAAAAGATAAAGAGACCCGTCGTGGGAGCTAAAGTTGTAATGCTTTGGTTTGTTTTATTCTTACGAGTTCCTTCCACGACGTCTTTCGACGTCTTTTGGGATGGAGTGAATATTTTATATGAGAAACGCGAGCTCTCTCGTGTAATTAAGTATCACTCGCGTCAGTTCTGCAAATTTGTGTAATTTCAACTTTTAGGAGGTTCTTAAATGATTTCATCGATTCTAATTTACTACGTTTTCTGTTACGAATAAAAAGTCGTTCGTATTTAATTAATGCAACAATGTTAAATATCTATAATTTACTATATATATAACACTTTATTTTTTTATAATTTATTTATTTATTTTCTAACTGCTAGATTATACTTCTCGATGAATATTATCAATGTTTTTTTTATTATTTTATTAGAAAACATTTAAGTAAACCTTTATATGATAGATTTTCCCATTCATTCATTCATACATTCATTTATTCAACTTTCAACTCATCATTATGCGATGAATATATTAATAAACAATCGATTATCTTTGATAAAATGCAAGCGAACACCTTGATTATATATTAAAGTCAGGAATAATTTGAGGTACCGTAGATAATAATCTTGGTGGTGTACGAGCCACACGTGAGAAATGTGTGAACGTGATCATTATGAACGATATAAGTGTATGGTTGTTATGGTGTATAGAGGCTCGTGTTGACGGACCGGTTACAAAAGAGAGAAAAGGATCCTGCTGCGAAGCCGATCTCGCGTGGTGTCCGATTTACTTATGCGTCAAAAGAAGCCCTCAAGGATCTTTTATTGAATGCTCATAAGTTTTGACGTTAACGAGCATAATATCCCTTGCCCGGAGAATCCGTAAAACGCCGTAGGAGCCATATCAAAACACCTTTTCTCGTCGGCACTCACGAAAACCATGTAAACGAGGATTCTTGTTTTTAATGCGTCGGAAATAAATTTCAATGTCTCTTCCTTTTTTTCTTTTTCTTTTTTTTTCATTTCGTTGCAACGCTGCCAAAAGGATTAAAAATAATATACGCGCAAAATTAACTTTTTAATTTAAGATTTTCTTCGATAGAACTGTGTTTCTAAAAAAAGAAAAATGAAAAAAACTGAGATTAAAAATTACGACTTCAAAAATATAGTTGATGCGAAATATGATTTATTAAATTTATTTGCAATAATAATCGGAATGTTGTTTTGTAATTGCAGCGAACAATAAATTCATCTCGTAATACTTTTGATCAATATTTAATAATAATCAAATATTTCATTGTGTATCAACTCAAAACATTTTTAATATTTAAAAGAAAATTTATATACCAGAATGATATTAATATGATATTTTTTGACGATATAGCTTTTAATCTTTTGAATGCAGCGTGAACTAACTAAAAATCATCCTAATTCTGTGACTCTATTTTGTATGTTCGTTATATATATATATATATATATATATCGATTAATACAAGCAGGATTACGCATATAGATTTTACGCATATATCAAACATACATATTAATAAATATGTAGAAGTGAATATATTATATATGAACGCTTTTAGTAGTCAAAGGGTTCAGTGTTAACGAAGGGCTTATTTCGCGACGTCTGGTTAATATCTTTTCCATTCGCCAAATGTTTCCGTTTTCCCTGTGGGTTTTGCAAAGACGACGATGAGAATTATTAAAACGAATTTTAAAAATCTTTAACAATTGAGCGTAGCTTGATTGTGCTAAAAGATTATATTTTAAATTAGGCGAATAATTTTTTGTTCAAAGAGACTAATGTAACGGATTAAATAAAATTCAAAGAGGGGGAATAAGAGAAAATATTATTCGTTATATATTGTCGGTTTGAATTATATATTTTATTAATATATACGAGATGTTTTTAAGGGTGTACGGTGTTGTAATGAGTTCGTGTTATTATTGTTTCAGGTAAGAAGGCAACCAAGACGAACGGCCGGAAAATACTTGCTCATTATGCTCGCCGAGAGTCGTGAGTAATCCTACACACTTGTCCTCTTATAACTGATCGATAATCAGTATACACACTTACACACACACACGCATTATATGTGTCACTATTTGATATAGATAATTGTGAAAAAAACATAATTGATCGGTTTGAAATTAAGTAAATACATATACAAATAATTTAGTCGACATAATCGGTTAACTTTATTAGGTTTATTTTAAATTGCTTTAAATAGATGGTCTGTAAAAATAAGATAGAATCTAATTCATTATTCAATATTTACATTAATTCGAAAAAGTACTTATTTGAAAGAGGAAATTATGAATTTCCGTCGACGATTTTTCTTCCTATTTGGCGTCACCCTTTTATTTTATCGTTTAAAGTAACGTTGAGAGTATGCACGAAAAAAAGTGCTTATCGATATTCAATAATTTCTAACATAAGATGCGAAGAAGAAGAAGAAGGAGAAGAAGAAGAACGGTTTGTAAAATGATCGACAGAAAATATTTAGCGTTAACATTGGCAAAGACCATAGGATGATGGAGAGTGAAAGAGAGAGAGAGAAAGAGAGAGTAGGGTCGACAGAATATTCGAAGTAGCGGTGGGTGATTAGCGAGAAGGGAGGGGTCAGAGGGGCCAGGAGGGGAGAGGGGGAGAGGGAGGGGGAAAGAAGCAGTAGCTCGCTTTAATTACGCGGAGCCATTGTTGCGGCCGGTTGTTTATAATTAATCGTTGGAAACCCTGCTTCTGTCAGAGATAGATATGACGGCCAATAAAATACGTCGCCACCAGCCGCACGCACGAACACACACACGCACACGCTCACATACACACACGGAGGACAGCAAAACGGACACTGGAAATTTTGCTATATGCTGAAATTTCAGTTTGACGGCCTAACGAACTGCCCAAATCGAAACGTGATTCTACTATCGCGGTTGATCGCTATACTACAACTACTACTACTACTACAACTACCTTCCCACGCTGATCTAAAGTCAAATAACATTTGCATCCTCGTTTGTTTGCTGCGTCTGGGTAGAATAATATGCGACAAAACATTTCACGGAAAATGATGCTCTCTCTCTCTCTCTCTCTCGCTCTCGCACGTGTTTTCCTATTAAAAATATTCTTGGTTAATTAGAAATTATTCCGTTTCGTCGATAATGCGTTTTAACGTATAATATTATTACGATAATTATTATCGATTAATTCGCGTGTGTCGTAATAATTAGATATTCGAAAAATTAGATTATAAATTAATATCTTTGGTGGAAACGAAAAGAATGGCTTTTCTTTTTGTTTTCTTTGTTTTATTCGAGTGTACAAGTAAAGATCTCTCGTTTTGAAACACATAGTATGTAATAATATACGCTTTGTGTTATCGTTGTACGAGCATGCCTCGATGTTTCGTCGAGAGTTTACGGAAAAGTTAGGATTTTCTTCGTGATAAACGCGACTTTCATGTCCACCACTCCCTCCGCCTGTCCACCCCTTCTTCCCACACCCCCGCCCCTCATCGCGGGAAAGTTCGCTTTCTTTTGTATGCTGCTCGCGAGAGGAAGGCAGTCGGTTCTGACAGTGCTAGAAATCGAGAATGAAATAATGCACGAACTCGGGGATAGGTTCGAAGATGGGTTCGGCCCCATTCTCTCTCTCTCTCTCGTCAGCTTGGGGAACTTTAGCAAGAGTAATTAACTTTCGTCGAAATGGAAAGAAAAGCAGATAAGAGTTGAGATAATCAAAAGTGGAAGAGAATCGAGACGTACATAAAACTTTGATCTTATATATTAAAAGGATTTTTTTCTGTTAGAAAAAACCATATCAAATTCGAAGCACAATTGTTAACGTGTTATATGGAAAATTAAATTATTTTCTTTATTTTTTTTTTTTTAATTAGCGATTATACTGTTCTCTGTTTAATAAACTACATTGACGTTGTCGACTCATCTAATTTTCTATCTGTCTCCGTTAAAATGACGCAATTAGTATCGTCGTAAAAAAAGAAAACGAGAACACCGCTTACCCTAATTTTTTTCATGAAATGTTAGCACACATGTAACATATGTATGTTGGTATATGCGCGCACAAGTGGTATATTTTTCCGTAGACTCGTGCTTTTGATCGTTAAAAACAAAATGTTATATCAGAGAACGAAGGTTTGGAAAGATTACCATTTTCACTAACGAGCTTGTAATTTCGAAGACAAAATCTAGCAGAGAGAGAGAGAGAGAGAGAGAGAGAGAGAGAGAAAAAAATTTATAGTAAAATACGAGAATATAAAGAATTTAGAAAAAATGTAGAAGATTCGTATTCATAATGGTATAGTAACGTGCAATATAAATTTCATTATCGTCCGGAATTATGCTTTTCATCTATAAAATATGTATTTTGTGTGTGTGTGTGTGTGTGTGTGTGTGTATGTGTGTGTGTGGCAATTTCAGCGTTTCAGAAATGAGATGCAAATTTACATATAAGTATACCGATGTACAAAATTAATACATTACTAACTTCTTTGTGTTGATATAAATTAATCGTATTTTTCAGATCAAAAAGAATAAATCGCGAATTAATGATTGGAAAATGAGTTGGTAAAACGTTAATATATCATTTTGACAAGTTCAATAGAGATAAAAAGAACAAGCAACGTATGTTTAGAATTTGTTCATTTTTCCTATGAGCCAGATGGCTAATAAAAAGGAAAATAGAAAGAAGAAGGTATAAAATAATAAGTCACTTAAGCAACTTGATTCTCATGCATAAATACATTTGGTACGTAGATTTTTTTTTTCTCACGCGGGTATAGCAACCTTGTGGCCAAGGTTGCGCAACAACGACAACGCTATACCAACGATAATGACGCACACACACACACACCGGGTAAAGTAATCGCGTCGGTGCGTAGCATCTATGACGCTGCTGGGATAGACCTCACATTTAAGCTAGCATACATATGGGACTGGCAACACACGTTTATGTGAGTCATATACATACGTATTACGTACAGGTACCAACACACAGATAAATGCACGCTGCAACGTAACTAGGCGTGCTCGGTCCCGCCAATTGACTCAAATGCACATTTACCCTACATCCATGACAATTACATAATCGAGCTCGACGATGCAAGTACAACGTCCAGGATTGATTCTTTCTTTTTTCTTTTCTTTCTTCCTTCATTAATTTTCGATCATTTAAATCCTGTCTCTTTATTGATCTAACATCTAACACATTACTTACTACAAACGTTAGAAATTTCAACGTGTACGATCGTAATGAAATTTCTCTTAGTTGGAATTCGAAATATTAATTGATATTTTTAATTCTATTTTAACGAATATTTTAAATAAGTTTAAACTATATGTATATATAACAAGGAACAAAAATTGTTTTCTAAACATAAAAGCGAAAAGAAAATTGCGTTAAATATCGGAAGAAATCTATCGGTGGTTACTTGATGAGAGGATCCTTTCAATTAACGATAAGCAAGCTCTTTATATGGGACGCGTCCGTGCATATCGTGGCAATGAGAAAGCAAGATAGAGAGAGAGAGAGAGAGAGAGAAAAAGAGAGAGAGAGAGAGAGAGAGAGAGAGAGAGAAGTAGAGACGGTGCGATGCATCAGCAGCCAGCATACGACTCTTCTATTCATAGACATAGCCTATTGGTCTGGAACACCCACTGACCCGGTGCACCGTTGAAATGGTCCGTGCAAACCTGGCGCGTGTTTTCAACTACGAAGACCTACGCCTTTTCAATAGCTATCACGAGAGCCAAACGAATCTACGGATGGGAACGTTGACGTAAATCGACGATGTGATCGAATTAACTGGGTCACTTAGTTTCGCAAAACGCGGAACTTCTTAACGAGCTGCTGGGACCTCTTTAACCTACCGAGTGAATAATCCTTCAATGTTTTTTTTTTTTTTTTTTCTATGAAAAGGGAATTAAATAAAATGAAATCAAGTGAAATGAAATGAAATGAAATGAAAATGAAAATGAAAATGAAAATATATAAATGGAGAAAATAAGAAATGGTAATCAAATTGTATCGTTCGTGCTCAATTCGTACGCGTAAAATATTAAAGTAAATTTCTTTGTACCGTTTATGTTGGATCCTTTGACGAAATTAAAAGTTCGGTAGATACGACGTGAAGTGTGTTGATATGTTAAGCACGACTAAATCGATGTGTAATCAACTTGGAACTTCGATTAGCTGAGAAACCATACTACTTTCATCATGCAACGCTGCTAAAATTCGTGAATTCAGAATTTCGGTATAAAATATCGGAAATCGTACGAATATCAAGTACCAATTTGTCGCACCAATTTTTTCTTTCTCTTATATCATTTTTCTTTTACAACTAGTCAAGTATTATTGCATATGTATACGTTTATGCACGCATACAACTGCGTTCAAAGTATTTACCGAAAAATTCACGTTTCCAGATATTGCGATCACAACTTTAATTTCTCGTCGTCTTTGTCGTTTTTGTCGTGGTATAAAAAATTCTTTTCAAATCAACGTTGAATCTCCTCTATTCTAAATACCGCACACGTCTCGTAATCTCTTGTTGAAAAGTGCTAAAAAGTGGGCATATAGTGATAGAAATAAAAATGACGAGAGGCAAGGTAAAAAAAAAAAAAACGTATCGCGATAATATTTTTCTTTTGGTAAATCCCACGAGGTAATGGTAAGGTAGTAATCAATCTTGCTTATTCGCGTTTAACTTGCGATCTGTATATTTCTTTTCATTCGATGATATTATTATTTCATCTTATTTTCGATTTATCTTAAAAAAGTGTTTAACACAGAGCGACATCCTGTGTGTGCCATTGCAAGCTGTTACTACTGCGCTGTATGCAACTCGATCGTTACAAAAAAAAAAAAGAAAGAAAATATATATTCCTGTCAATTAAATAAAAATATTAAATAATCGTCGTGTGTGATGTTATTTTGTATAAGTTTACAAAATAAAAAAATAATAAAAAGAAATCATTTCATTGATCCCCCTACCATAT